TTACTGTAGTGGTAGCAGTATTACTCGTAGCCATACTAATAGTACAAGGCGTACCCTTCACATCGGCACGATCATATTTCCTTACTCCAACGCTCCCCCTTAAGCTAGTGGAACCACCGCTCCCACCGTACAGGGGATTGTTGTCCATAGATAACATTACCCATTTATCCTCTCCATTCCCCACCATATGGACATGTTCCCCTCCAGAACGTGATGGGGGTGATGTCAATACCCTGATGAGATCCCCTACATCACCATAATTTGCTCGGAAGTCATACGGTATTAAGCATACCGTGCCCCGAGCTAGGCCTGCGTGTTCCACGAATGGGCCCTCTTGGTTACCCAGGGTGGATACACCCATTGTAGTGGCCTCCCGGTAAGCCCTAACCCTCGCAATCATGAAGGCCAAAAGCCTAACGGTGGATAAGACATCACAGAGGTCTCGTTGATGAGGACGGCCACAACAAACCAATCTTGCATTCAACGCCCCACTATCTGATATACCATCACAACTCCCCAAAATCATAGGGTAAGTAGGACCGTAACCAGAACCATAGGTAATGCTCGCCTGGCCATCCCACAGGCACACTAGGTCCGAAACAGTGCTGGTGTTACTAAAAGCGTAGCTACCTCCGATAGGGTCGTCCAAGTGGGGGCCCACTCTCAGGAGCCCATAGAGGCGCACGAGGACCAATGACTCACACTCCGTAACATCAGCATAGAATCCTCCTTGGAACATCCATAGTGGATCTCCTACACTCAACATGTGTAGCTGCTCCCTTCCTAGCACCAGGTTTGGAACCGTACTAGCGTTAACAATAACGTGGCTACCTCCGATAGGGTCATCCAAGTGGGGGCCCTCTCTCAGGAGCCCATAGAATCGCACAAGGACCAACGGCTCACGCACTGCAACCCTAGTCAAGGAACATCCTTGAGCACACAACATATGCAACAATTCCCTAACTGATCTTCCCGTAAACGACACGTCCCCCGCAAATCTTGGAAGACCTTCGGTACGGGGTCCCTGTTGCCTCACAATGCCCCTTTTAACAACAGGGCCAGCTCCTTCCTCACCTAATCTCAGATTAGTAATCTGTCAGTGAGGGGTGTGCTGGGCGCCTTACTATCACGGACAGTAAGACAGGTCAGTGTTTCCATGGTACCCTGGAAGCCATCAGACCTTACCCGTCCCTCACCAAATCTGGGCAAGGGGTTAGGGCGTTGGTAACCTTGACAATCAGCGTCAGAGATCACCCTGAATGTCAAGCCTTCGGAGCAGACGATACCCTTGTGAGTTGATGGTAGCATGCACGGGTCGTCGTTATCACCCTTCTCATCCATATCACTAGTACCAGACCTATCGACCGTATCCGCGTTGGCCAGTGCAGATAAGCAGGTCGTAGTCTCGCTACTCCTTGGACATAGATACTCGCTTGGAAGGTCCTTAAGCTTCCCCTGTTCAGCTTGTGTGACCATCATATCGGGCGCCTCCGAGTTCCCCAGGACCGTAGACATACCGCCCCGGATATCTTGACATTCTGGACCCTCTAGTAGCTCCTTACGTAGAATACCGAACTTCGGCAGCCATACATAAGGATGATCTTCAACCAGTATAGAGTCAGTTCCTAGTTCTAATCCTTCACAACTAGAACCATAGGAAGACTTCCGGATAGTATTCTCTATGGCGTACAGAGTCGAAGATTCTTCGAGAGGAGTACCCAAACCACCAAACGAACCCTTAAGACCAACCACATCATAGTCCATACACCCTTGAGCGGCCTTGGGGTCATCACCTCTCAGAGAACATATCCCGGTAGAATGTGCACAACGGCGGTGATCACTGACCACAGGTGTAGGTAAATTCCCAGTTAGTGTAGGTAAACGTTGCGCGTAGTGACTGGGATCACTTTTAACTTTCCCTGAAATCCTTAGAACGAACCGTACGACAAGCACGTTCGTTAATCTTCACAATGTTCCCAACTGGGTTCCGTTGACCCGAATGATCAACGACTCTATTCGAACTCTTGCCACTACGAGTCAATACCATCGTGACTAGTAAACACAATGCCTAACTCGTATACAATACCGTAAACTAATCCCTGACTAAGATACCGTTCAGACGAAGCTTAGCCACTAGCGAATGATATACCTCAAATCACAGTAAATCACTCTGAGCCTGGGCTCAGGTCCAACGTAAGCAAACGAACGTCGTTGCGAACGCCTAACCCTAGGGTTCACGCACCCTTGGGAACAGCACGCATGCACAAATCTGTGACGCGAATCATCAAGGCTAGCACAATAGACAGCAGACAGTAAATACCGTAATAAAAGTACAGTAAATACCGTAAAACAAGGCGACCAATCAACCATAAGAGTTAACAGGTCTCCGTGCCTTGCGCTGACGCGCACAGCGCACGGATACTACTCTATCTCCATGCGTACAGAGGCAACGGAGTTCAGCGCTAGGGTAGACGCACTAGGAGAGAGTACAAGACGATGAGGGAGTCTCCAAGGGATGCTCAGTTTGATTATCACTAGCTGTAGTATAGTCTTTGTGCGGAGTCACAAGATGAAGCGCTAGGCACTATCGCTAGGCCATCACAACACGAGTCGTGTTGTGATTGCCTACGTCGTGGTCGTGTTACACGACCCATCTCTTTCACCCGTGCAGTGTTGGACTCGACCCATAGTAGGGACGGCTGTGTCGTTCCCCCACTTCAAGGGCTTCCCCAAGGGTTTCATGTTCTTCACGCCCCCAATATCGTGACGCCGGTTATGACACGCGTACGATCAACCGTGTTCATTGCACCCTTTCCCAAGAGGCTTTGTTTGCTGTCATCCCTCATCTTTTGATGCCCAACAAATAAGTCATACAACCTATTTGAGGGTTTGCGGGGTTTGAGTCAGCCGACGCTACACCAGTATAATGTGCCCATTCATCCGCGTGACGGTGGGAAGTCTCACGCAATCTGTGCGCCGTGAGAGTTTGTCACTCTATCACTGACAGAGCCTCTGTCACAACACTGTTCTGCTCTTCCCACTTATAATCGATCGATGGGGAAAAGGTCAACTTTTAGCAGAGTGCTTTTCGTGCTGTGTGTGAGGAGCTATCTGGAAGGACTTGCCTACGATCTCAACGGGGAGGCTCATACCGCTCTGCCTCCTGAAGCTCCTACGGTCACTATTGACTTGTCATTGGCTCCGGAGGAGCACTTCAAGCCAGCTGTGAGAGCTGTATTAGATAAGCACCCTTACGGGAAGTCTTTCGAGCCTTTCTTTCACCAGATGAATACTACCCTCTTCGGTGCTCTCGAGTTGGACGACAGTGATTACCAGAAGTTGTTTCGTGCTGCCAGTACATACTTTCCCGTGCAGCTGCGAGAGCTGCAAGGCATTTCTGCTGAGCTCGCTAGCTCTGGTCATTACGTTAGTGTCCACTATCTTCTAGGTTTGATGTACGCTGCGGAGTTGGAGGCTTTGCTATACCCGGAACTCTCATCAGATTCCAAAGGTGCTTGGTGTACCGCCGCTATGGTTGCTGATACTTGCGGTACAGTTGTCCATGGTCGAAATATGGATTTTCCCTTAGCACGAGGAGCTGATGCGGCGTTGATGACTCTCAACCTTGACGTCATCAATGTTCCTCATAACGGAAT